CCTTCACCGTGATAGAGCTCTGGTTGTCGGGCTTGGCAAGCATCCTTACCTACTAAGCCATCTCTCCAGCCGTATTCTTAGCTTTAATTTACGGCTTAGGAAAGCATGCATCATTTTATCACCTTGTTTGTAGCTCCCTGTCTGTCGTCACCCCCCCTCCCCCGCCACACACTCAAACTCGCTAGTACATCCATAATAGCGTCTAAGGGTTTTCCTCATCTCTCTTCCAGCTTCCTGATCCTTTAGTGTAGTGATATACCGGCGTGTTTCAGTCAGTGTTTGGACCGTCTCCAGGCTTTTGCTCTCGCACACATTGCTGTAGTGAATAGTCTTGTGCATGTGTCTTTTCATGTTTTTGGCCAGGCTAGTGTGATAGAGATTCCTAGAAGTAGAACTGTTAATGAAAGACAAATACCTGCCGTTGTGTTGAACACTTCCATATCCCACTCCATAGTGTTGTTGGGGGGTTTTTTTGTTGTGAAAATGCTTATTATTTATAGTTTAAGTTTCACCATGTAGTATATTGTCAGGTTTGTTAACCAATGGGTAAGAAATGATACACTGGAATAGTTTCAATTTGTATTTCTCATGAATGAACTTACCTAGGCTAAATAACCATTTATGTTTGTTTTCCCGTGTGTTTTTATACGCTAGCCCATTTTCCCAATAGAATTGTTGAACACTTCCTTCAGATTCCTGTGTTTTGTTTGCATTAGTCCTTTGGGTTGATTAATTACAGTTCTCTCACTTGTGGGCTTCATAAACTTCCCTTTAAGATACTTTTTAACTTGGTGGAATTTTTTGTTGTTTGTTTGTTTTTAGTTTTATTTTATGTGTGTGGATGTCTTGTTTACATATATGTTTGTGTACCGTGTGCATGTCTTGTGCCTATGGAGACCAGAAGAGGGCATTGGAGCCTCTGAATCTGGGGTTACAGATGGTTGTGAGCCACCATGTGGGTGCTGGGATCCGAACCTGGATTCTCTTAACGGTTGAGTCATCTTTCAGCCCCATGTCGATGGCTTATTCTGTATTTTTTAATTCTGTGTACATGAGTGTTTTGTTTGCATACTTGTCTGTGTACCACAGAGGCCAGAAGAGGGTACTGGATCCCCTGGAATTGGAGTTACAGATGGTTATTAGCCACCGTGTGGGTGCTGGGAACTGAACCCCGGGCCTCTGGGTGCTCCCAAGAGCTGAGCCATCTCTCTCTAGTCCCCCATCTTGGTGGGGTTTTTTTTGTTGTTGTTGTTTTGTTTTGTTTGTTTTTTGGAAGTTCCTATGTGATAAGTTAGAAATGTGAGGAATAAGATACTTTTTGTGGCCATAATACCCTTAGATTATATCTCATTTCACTTTTTAAAAATGAGTTACCTGATTTTTCTGTAGCAGTTCCATCTTCTGGCCTTAAGTCTGGCCTTAAAGTATGGCACTCTGAAAAGCAGGTTTGCATCCATGGGTTCCATAGCCATTGTGTACTTGAAATTTAGAGTTTAAGAGAGAAGTCTTTAACAGTTCAGTGTTCTCTAGAGAACGTAGAATAAAGTCCACTTAGAGAATAAATAAAGGTGCTTTTTCTCCTTTGGTAACTTACGTAGAACACGAACTGTCTGCATGCTTAATGTGCTTCGATTTCACGAGACTAGTTCCTGGGCAGGGTGAGCAGCTGAATGTTAAGAACTGAAAACAGCTCTAGAGCTTAGCAAGTGATGGGGTGTGACGGGGTGACTGTGCCGTAGGGCCCCAGTCGGTGGGTGGCTTCCTCAGAATGTCCACGCATCGTTTTTAGGTTTGAGGTAAATAAACGTTGCATGGATAGGGCGGGGGAGAGAAACAGAAGGCTCTGGGAAGATGAAAGATAAACAGGAAGCAGCAGATCCCGGATGGTGTCTGCCCCCTCCCCCTTGGAGTAGCTCCCATCGATTTCCAGTCTGCTCTGCTTGGGCGCTGCTCTGGTGTCTTTATGTGTAAGTCCCTGCAGTTTTCAGGCTCTGTGCGGTTGGTACAACTATTTTCCTGTTTCAACAATGAAGGAAATGAGGCACGGGAAGGCCGGGTTGTCCAGAGTGTCCTGTTTCTGTGAGCAGCTGATGGCAGGCCGAAGTGACGTCCAGGCTGGTCCCTTCAGACGGTCACAGACTGTCCCGCCCCTCTCACCTGTAACTGCTCTTTAGACAATAAGCTTGAACATGAAGACTTCTGGGCCTAAAATACCAGACTTTTTCATGGATGCAGTTACTGTAAAATAATCACTCTTGAAATTCATAATAATTTAAATATTCTTCTTTTTAGGCTGTGCATTATGTGTGACACTTCCAATGAGTTTATTAAACTTTTTTAGGTAAGTATTTTTTTTTTTAAGTTGTGTGTGTCGGGGGGGAGGGAATCTTTAACAGTTGTGTTGTAACCCTGGCTGTCCTGGAACTCACTCTGTACACCAGGCTGGCCTCAAACTCACAGAGATTCACCTGCCTCTGCCTCCTGAGTTCTGGGATTAAAGGTGTGCACCATCAGTCCCAGCTAAGTGTTTACTTTTGTGATTTGGACATTTTGAAAAGGTTTAAAAGCCTCTTTCGGATCTAGCGTGGGAAAGTGATCATTGAGGTTGTCTCTGTTGGCTAATGTAGTCAGTTCAGCTCTACTGTAAAACGGTCAGGGCTTTTGGGAAGGTTTGGGGCTCAGCCATCTTCAAGCTTGTCACTTTTGTGAGTGAACCTCCCTATAAGGAGTGGGTATTTTCTTGTGAAATACCGACTTATCCACATTCTTGTTATGGAGGATTACAGTGTAGTTAATGAGTGTGTGTGGGTTAGGACAGAACTTCAGGCTGCCGTTCTCACATTGGGGCATGGTTTCTGAGGTAGGATGGGGTGGACTTTCCATTCCGATTTGTGCACACCCCATCTTTGCTGGCTGTCCTACCTTGCCTTGTTTTGTCCAAATATATTTTGTTCTTGCACATCTCAATAACTTTTAGCTCTGGCTGTTTCCTCTGCTCCTGTTATTTTACCTTGTTCTTCCTACTCAGTCCCTTAGCGCTCAGCTCTGTCTTCTGGCCTCTTATCCATGTCCAGACAGGCTCTGTATAGCTTCTCTTGTGGTGACTGTCATCTATAGAACTGGTACATTTTAAGTCAAATGTAGGGCACTTCAGAGGCTGGGGCCTGCCAGCCTGGGCTGTGTACTGAGTACCAGGTCTGCCAACAGTACACAGTAAGACCCCGTCTTTAAAAGAAATAAAAAGTGATAGCATTAAAATTGGCAAGCCATACTGATCTTTTGAGTCATTTCCTCCTTTTACAGATGAGGCTTTGATTGGGCCACAGTGTCCAAGATAATGTGATCAATAACTAAACCAAGACTAGAATTTGGAGCCCCGTTCACATGAGCGGACATGCTGGATTTCTCCCAGTGTATTTAGAGACACCGAGATGTGCTGGCCATCTCTCTTCAGGGTCCTGTGTGTGAAATATATCTGCCCTAAAATCCGTATCCCTTTAAATTTTTTTTATATGTATGGGTATTTTGTTTGCATGTTATGTCTTTGTACCACATGCATTCCTGTTGCCCAGGGAGACCAGAAGAGGGTATTAGATCCCCTGGAACTGGAGTTACAGATGGTTGTGAGCCTCCGTGTGGGTGCTAGGAACCAAACTCAGTCCCCTGGAAGAATAGTCAGGACTTTTAATCTCCAAGCCAGTAGTTTCTCAACCTTCCTAATGCTGGAACCCTTTAATACAGTTCCTCATGTTTTGGTGACTCCCAAACATAAAATTATTTTTGTTGCTACTTCATATCTGTGATTTTGCTGCTGTTATGAATCATCATGTAAATATCTGGTATGTGACCTCTGTGAAGGGTCAACCCCCACAAAGGGGTCACGACCTACAGGTTGAGAACCACTGCTCTAAGCCATATCTCTCTCTCTCTCTCTCTCTCTCTCTCTCTCTCTCTCTCTCGCTCTCGCTCTCGCTCTCGCTCTCGCTCTCGCTCTCGCTCTCGCTCTCTCTCTCTCTCACCACATCTTTCCATTCTTATCACAACTGTTGACTGGTTAGTAAGAAAGGGACCAGGCATGGTAGTACCTTACTTTAATCCCAGCACTCTGGAGACAGAGGCAGGTGGATCCACACAGTGAGTCCCAGGCCAGCCAGGGCTACAATAGCGAGACCCTGTCTAAAATAGAGAAACGAAGGAAGGGGGCATTGATCAGGCAGAACCTCAGTTATAATAATCCTGGCCTTGGTAGCAATTAATAAATTTAGAGCATTTCATCTTAACTTAGCCTGTCTTTAAAGTGGGGCTAATGATGTTGGTTCTCTGTGCTGTGGGACTGTAAATATACATGAAGAATACGTGTGTAGGAGTTTGGAGACGTGAGTGTTAGGTGTGAGTCTCAGGTGTAATGGTGTTCTGTGTTGATCTTTCAGAAGTTACAGAAGCAACACCCTGAAGCACAGCTCCGTTTATGAAGCCATGGTCCCTCTCTTCTCTCCGTGTTTGCTCTTCATTTTGTCTACAGTGTGGATCCTCCGCTCTCCTTCAGATATTTTAGAGATCCACCCTAGAATATTCTACTTCATGGTTGGAACAGCTTTTGCCAATATCACAGTAAGACTTTTTATTTTTAAAAAATCACCTAAGCCTCATGTGGTAGCTTGTGCCTATAATTCAAGGCCAGCTTGGGCTACATGAGACCACGTCTCACAAAACCAAAATAACAAAACAGAAAAAGAATCAAAGCAGCTTTGAAAGGTGCTCATTGCTGATTGGAGGTCGGAGGTCGGAGGTTGGAGGTCGGAGGTTGTCATTCCATGAGGAAGCTCGGTTGTGTCAAGGCTTAGGGGGCTGTTTGGAAATTGTTCTTCACATGGCACAGTTTTAAAATTGGGAGCTCCTTCTCCTGTCTCAGCTGTCCCCACACTGTGAGAAAATACCTTCTGTGGCATCTAGGTTAGCAGCAGAGAACCTGACAGGCCCCTTAGGGAAGGGTTCATCATGGCGGGCAGTCATGGTGTCAGGTCCCAGTGGGGGTCCACTGCAGCTGCCGTGAGGAAGCAGCTAGCAGACTGTGCTCGGCTTACCTCTTCCTTTCTATTCAGTCCAGGACTCCAGCGCATGGATAGTGCTGCCCACACAGAGAGTGGGTCCTCCCCCCTCCTTTAAACCTCTCGGGAAACTCTCCACAGACATGCCCAGAGGTGTGTTTCTGAGACCACTCTAAATCTAGTCCGGCTCATAGTGGAGATTAACCAGCATGACAGCCTTACTGCGCTGTCTTGGTCTCTTCTGACGCGGTCCCGAGATCAGTGCTTCAAGGGTGGGTCGGGCCAGCTGGGGCCCTGAGCAGTTGAGAGCTATTGACCATATTCTCGAAAGCAGCTCTGCAAGTGTGGCCGGTTTAGAAAGTGCTTTCTAATCGATGCCCATCTTTCCTTCCCCTCTCCTTGCTTCTCCCAAGTGTAAGCTAATCGTTTGCCAAATGAGCAGCACACGGTGCCCGACTTTGAACTGGTTGCTGCTTCCTCTCTTCCTGGTGGTGACCACAGTGAGCGTGGGGGCGGCAGCCTCCCACCTGGAGAGTCTTCTCCTTCACGGGCTCACGGCAGCCTTCACTCTGGCTCACATCCACTACGGAGTTCAAGTGGTGAGTAACGGAGGGAGGGCCGAGCGGGCGGATAGACTGTGGGGAGACTGCAGAGGAGGCTGGCTTAGTGTGAGAGCCAGGAGGTGGAGGAGACAGGCGCCCAAGGTTTCGGTGACATGTAAGTGTGTAATTTCAGACGCTTTTCTAACGATTATACCAACTACAAATTATTTTTAAGTGAGTGATTATGGGTAATTAGTTCTTATTTTAAATCGTTATATAAGTGATTTTCTTGTTGAGAAAACACTGTCTGTGCTTTTCACTATGTGAGGCCAAATGATCCGGTTAGTTTCTGTTTCTTTAGTCTTAGGACATTTTTATTGCTTACTAATTTAATTTGGGGAAAACAGGTAACATTGGTTTATAGTACTTCCCTGTCTATTCCTAATCCTGTGAGAAATGGAATAGGGTTTCTGTTGCTGTGATAAACACTATCACCAAAAGCAGCCCAGGAAAGAAAGGGTTTATTTCCGCCTACAGTTTCATGTCACAGTCCATCCATAATCAACAAAGGCAGTCAGGGCAGGAGCCCTGAGCAGGGGCTGAAGCAGAGGCCATGGAGGAGCACTGTTTACTGGTTCGTTCCCGTGGTTTGCTCAGTCTGCTTTCTTATAGCACCCAGGACTTCCTCTCCGTCCGTGGGTGGCACCACCCTCTACAGGCTGGACCCTCCCACATCATTAATCAAGAAAGGGAAGCGCAGGCCTGCCCACAGGCCAGTCTGATGGAGGCGTTTTCTCAGTTGAGGTTCCTCTTCCCAGATGACTCTACCTTGTGTCAGGTTTAGAGAACAAAACAACAACTGGCCAGCTCGGACAGACTAGAGTTTTAGACTAGAGGAAGTCATTTGCAGTATTTCAGTTTTTATCTCGGGAGCCTTTACCTTTATCAGCAAATAATGAAAAACCGTGGAGGAAGATGGTTAGTATTTCCAGAAGGGGCAGAGCACCGCTGTCGGTGCTAAGGACGAAGAAGCAGGAGATAGCTTGGGGCTAACCTGGGCTCCATGGCAGAACCCTGTCTCCAGAAACCACAAACATAAACAAGCACTTTGTACCCCCACCGCTCTCCTCCCGAGTAAGAGTCACGTCAGGATGAGTGGACGATGATGTCAGAACCATGTGCCTCTCCCTCCCTCCCTCCCACCCGAACAGCCTTTCTAGTTTTCTAATTATTTTACAGATTTCAGTCATTGCTACATAGTAGTCTACCAGGGAGCTCACCAGTAGTACCCAGCTTACTAGCCCTCATCAGTTGATCTTATTTCCCGAGTGATTTAGTTTTTACGCTGTTGGTATGAACGAGTTGAAACACTCCTGTCTTTGATTGGTGTCATTTTGAGAGGATAACTGCAGGGACGGGTGTGTACTGGGCATCCACACTGCCGCTCTAGAGCCTGCTCCCTGTGTTTGGTTTGAAAGGAGCCCTGCTGAGAGTCGGTTTGATGAACCAAACATCCTTACTTCTGGATTATTGTTGTGAGAAACCTGATGAACTGATGTCAGATAATTGTTGATATTTTTATTTTTTTTTATTTTTTATTTTTTTAAAAATTTATTTATTTATTATGTATACAGTGTTCTGCCTGCATGTATGTCTTCAGGCCAGAAGAGGGCGCCA